TATATATATATATGATTTCAACCTCATATTTGTAACCATTTGGGACGTCTCGACGTCACATGGAGTTGGTTCTAGAATGCATGCATGTGCACAACGAGGAAACTACAAAACTGGAGGAAAGAGAGATTCAACCGGCCCTGTCTTCATTGAATGCAAAGATTTGGGCTCATTTTGTTTTTTACTGAATGAGTCTGAGTTTGACCTGAGCTTCACTGTGAGCAAAATTTGCAAAATGAAGATGAAGCACTTCCCACCCCCTAGTGACCACCTATCTGCAGAGATATCAAAAAATGGTGACAAAATGCCACAGTGTCTACAGGAATTTCTGTTATTACTTGTATACTGCCTGCTAATAATTTTAATTAATATTGCCTTGATGTATGTTCAGTTGAAGACCTGATGAAGTACCTGGATCCTCAATTTACCGATCACATCACTGTTCCTGATGCAATGAAGCTGGAGTTCATTCTTGCTGGTATGAACTAGAATAACCTTGAATCAATATGTTAAAAACTATCTTGTTATAAAAAATACTATTGTGTAACATTATAACGCTTGAAATGTCACAGTCAGATTTACTAATTATGGTTATATTATGTAAAGTGATCTATATTTTATGTTTGTGTACAGAGGAGGACTTCCTGCTTTCTCAGGCTGCTTTGTTGGAGCAGGTTAACAGTCTGCAGCCACTGTTGGACAGCACTTATATTAGAGGTTTGATACTCTGAAGCATACACATCAAAATGAATAGCTTCTATCTGAACCATAATATTAACTAAATTACTATTATTTTATCCTGACCGCAAAGAAAAAACGTTTGTTGTGTTATTTATTAGAAATGTTTTAACTTACAGTAACTACATCTAATGTGAATTTAATGTGTATATACTGATAAAATCCTTGTTATCTTGTGTTTATATAAAATTGGAGCTGCTTTGTTTTTCTTTGATGCTTGTGTCATCTGTCCATCTTCAATGTTCACAGATGTACCAGAACATGCAACCAAGCTGCAGCGACTGTCCCAGATTCACATCAAACAGCAGGTAATCATCGTAGTCTCCTTATTTTTTTCTGTCTGCCTCACTGATTCTTGAAAATGATCATTTTAGATTTTACTTAGTAGGTTTGTTTATCGTTCAGGACCAAACTGAGACTCAGTCACAGGAAGTGAAGAAGGTGTTCGAAGAATACAACAAAACGGTACCTTTTTTGTGTAACTTTTACCCAATCATGTTTTTCCAGTTTAGTACAATATAAATAATAATAATAATAATAATAATAATAATAATAATAGTCAAGTACTCAAATACTCAACTGAATTTCAGTCATTTTTCTAATTGGACTAAAATGTGACATCTGATCGGTAGATGTTCCTGATGTCCAAGCAGTTCACCCAGTGGGACGAGAGCCTGAGGAAGATGGAGGAGGCCAAAGGAATCCGACCAGTGGAGTAGCTCCTCTGAACAAATGAAGATTTAAGAAATGCTGAAGAAAACTGCACTGTAGCCGGAGCTCTTCATCAGCCATGTTACATTAATTATCTCATGCTACTTCAATAAGTAAAAAAAAAAAAAGACACAAAGCATCAACAGCAATTCAGGAACTGTTTCTTTGTTTTGATTTAATGGTTATTTGTTTCGTAAGATTCAATTAAAGACACAATTTCCTTTAATAAGAGGTCCTCAGAGCTCAAAAGTTGTCTTGTATTGTAGTTGAACATTTATGGGTCTCAACTGAAGGTTGAGGTGCTTAAAGACTACTAATGTTTAAAGTTTATGAAATCAGTATTCAAAAGGATATAAAAATAGACGAAAATGAAATTGATCGTTATGACTCCATTTGTTATCTATAATCAGCTCTTCATTTGACTGTAGCTCAAACATTGAAATGCTCCTGTTATCAGACAATAAAGCTTTGTATCGCCTCATATTAACTTAATTTACTTGTTCTAAATGCTGTTAGGTGCATTCAAAATACACTTTGTCACATTTTCAGCGCTTTCACCTGAGTGCATGTAAGACTGAAATATGCATTAAAATGAACTGTTCTAATAAATATCTGTAAAAAAAAAAAAAAGGGCAACAGCAAAAGATTAATTTTGTTTATGTAAAAAGATATTTACTCTTAGTTCATACCTCTATTCCGATTCTGTTTGGAGTTTCTGGAAAGCCCTTGGTGTCCCTCAGGGTTGTGTCCCCTCCGAACAGGATGTTGGCGTCAGGATCATCTTCTGCACCTGCAGATATTTGAAATGGTTTTTGTTTAATTAGAATAATTTGTGGTATCTACTGAAATGACAGAAAAAAATCCTGGTTAACAAGTCAGTTTCTTGAGTGAAATAACAAAAGTGTTATTTTAGTTTTCTGTAAAGATGTGCTGTTTTATGCCAACGTGTGACATGGGAAAAAAAACACTCAGGTGTTTTAGTGTTTACATTTTTGTCAAAAGACAAACATTTATTTTCTAAAGTTTAGTCTTTTATTTTGCCTTTGTAAAAACAAATATCAAAGTTTATTATAATTAAATAATTGATAAATTGCTATAGGATTTTTAGAAAAACAATGGGTTCTGTTATGTTTATGTTAAGTTGTAAATGTTGCAGCTTTGGACAAACTAAATGTAGGCAATGGGGGAAATGAGTCGTTTGTAAAAGTCTTTAACTTCCAGATTAAATCAAATAAATCGTTTCTCTGTAAACTTGATTTATAAAAAATGTATTTGTTTTTAAAGTTAATTGAATACATTTTTCTTCCTGTTTCTTCAATAATAACAAAAGGGGAAAAGCTACAATGTAGGCCTATAGCAAATATCCAGGGAGAACTTTAAACCTCCCACAACACGCACAAACCAAGAAACCATTTTCAATCTGGAATTTCCTACCAAACTTTATTTTCTCTAAATTAGGAGGCCTAAAATTCCTTTTATTTTGCAATTATAATGTTGGGAAAAGTCCCCTCTAAACTGTCTAACTTTCATAAACAGATGCATCTCTCTTGGACATTAATTTATAAACATAATTTCTCCGCACATAGACATTACATTTACATTAAAGACATCTTATATAAAAACAAATCCTTAATTTACCCAAATTGGTTTACTCACAACATAGTCCTGGTTCATCTATTTAATTTTGATGGCTCATTAATGTCATATCAAGAATTGATTTCAAAATACAATGTCACAATTCCCATTAACAAGTTTAACATTGTTATAGCTGCAATTCCTGCTGGTGTAATTATGTTGTTTAAGAATATAAGACTAATCCAAACGTATTGATCCAACCAAACTTGAAATTGGTCAAATTTGTTTTTCTTCTGCACGTAAAAACAGTTTACGTTCATTATTTCAGAATATCTTATGGGAACAGCTTTACCGAAAACCTTGACTGAAATAAAAGGACTTTACCAAAAATATGATAAATAATAAAGTAAGAGAAGTATCAAAAAAAATTGTTTAGGTCTTCTGGACGGGTTCTTCTCTAATGAAACGTTTCGTCTCTCCCCCAAGTGACTTCTTCAGTCTGAGAGTTTCAGGCAAAATTCAGGCTTTTAAGCATTGCCTCCATGTGACTGATACTCACATCACATGGCTATCGTTGACACCTAATTAACACCTATTGTTAACAGGGGGTGGAGTGATACTGGCAATAGCCGCACTGTAGGAGGGGGACAACTGAAAACGGAGGCCTCCACCTCTGTTTAATGATGGACGGTCTTTCTTCACAACAATGGCTTCTTTTACTCCTCTCTCAAACCAACGTTCCTCTCTATCAAGAATGAGAACATCCTCATCTCTGAAAGAGTGACCGTTGGCCTGTAAATGAGTGAAAACAGCAGAGTTCTGACCATTAGATGTAGCTCGTCTGTGTTGGGACATTCTTTTGAACAGTGGCTGCTTTGTTTCCCCGATGTATAACTGGTCGCAGTCCTCCTGGCACTTAACAGGATATACAACATTGCTCCCAACACAGACGAGCTACAACCAATGGCCAGAACTCTGCAGTTTTCACTCATTTACAGGCCAGCGGTCACTCTTTCAGAGATGAGGATGTTCTCATTCTTGATAGAGAGGAACGTTGGTTTGAGAGAGGAGTAAAAGAAGCCATTTTTGTGAAGAAAGACCGTCCATCATTAAGCAGAGGTGGGGGCCTCCATTTTCAGTTGTCCCCCTCCTACAGTGCGGCTATTGCCAGTATCACTCCAGCCCCTGTTAACAATAAATGTTAATTAGGTGTCAACGATAGCCATGTGATGTGAGTATCAGTCACATGGAGGCAGGGCTTAAAAGCCTGAATTTTGCCTGAAACTCTCAGACTGAAGAAGTCTCTTGGAGGAGAGACGAAACGTTTCATTAGAGAAGAACCCGTCCAGAAGACCTATACAATTTTTTTTCTTTTTGATTTTTTACCTGGATTACTGAGATGCATCTGGACACTAAGAGAAGTATCCTTTAAAATTGTTCATCTAAAATATTTTGCAACCTTTTAAAAAAGATATAAATGTAATGTGCTTTTCCTGTGAAGGCCACCCTGTGGATAATCATCACTTCTGCTGAGACCTTTGCTTTGAACATTTATTGTTTGGCTTCTCTGACCACCCATATTATTATCAGTCTTATTATATATTTAGCCAAATGGCATAATCAAAAACCTCTTCTTTCTATTTTCTTAAACAAAGTCGAACAATATATTAAAACTACCAGACTCATTGTCATGTAACCCCCTGGCAAATGTTATTGTGTTTTTACATTGTTCTGCGTTTTGTTTCTAAAATGAGTGAATGAATGAAACACGCACAAACTGCGGCGTTTCCAAGGTAACGCCATGTCAACATTGCCCCCCTGATCCGGCTGGAGTAGCTTTTAAACTAGCGACCGCTCGTCGACATGTCTGAAATGTCGGCTACGAACAGGAGAAAAATAAAAGACCTTGCTAAAACAATCTCAAAAAAGGTGGAACACCGTGAGTAGAGCATTTCAACTCGTTTTGTTTGTTTGGTTTTGGCGCACTCGCAGCTGGCATGAACGCTACACGGTGTGAAACGTGGATATTTCTCTTTGCCAGTGAATAAAACCGAGACGGAGTGCCTAATCCTGGAGTTTTGTGACCTCCTGGGGGAGAAGGAGAGACCTGGTGAAGAATCCCACGGTCTGGACAAAGACAGGTTCAGAGGGTTTCTGTTCAACATGTTTGGGATGACAGATTACATGATGATGGATGGAGGTAATGTTTATTCTGAAGCACATGGTTTTATACACATGAAATGTTTTTTTATAACCAAATCCCTGAAACAGATGAACTAATAACCAGTTAGTGATAATTTAAAAACGATAACAGATTACTTGATAACATTTTCTGAACAACTCAACTTTTTAAAAGTTGCATTTCACATTTTCATTTGGTTTAAATTGAACTGTAATTTGACTTTAACCTAATCTGTTGCTGACTGAGTTGTAATTTAAAGGCATTATCATAAGAAAATGAAATTAAACCACCAGATTAAATTGATTTTAAAAAGTAAAATTGACTTTAAGGTACACAGTGAATCACAAAATGAACAAACACATTTAGTCGTCTTTGTAAAACATTTATTTTGAAAGTTCAGGAGAGGTTGGGACAAAGGCAAGAAAAATCACCAGGTTAAAAAAACAAACAAACAAACCAACAACAACAAAAAAAAGATAAATATGTAGCAACTGAGCTGAATTTTGAAACAATTTCAATCATTTATTTACTGTCTTTGTAATTTATTGATTTGAGGCTTTAAAGTGCCCGTGACATCAAGTTTTGTAATGAATGTGAATGCGTTTTTGGAAAGACAACATTGATAACATATTGCAAAACAAATTTCATGCCAATGAGATGAACAGTTGTTGAGATATTTGCATGTGAAGAAACAGGAAGTGACATCAAAGGGGAACGTCTGCATGTAAACAGAGCGATGCTACAGTAATCAGAGAAGAATCAGATGTTTCTTTAGATTAGTTTAAGCCACTATCAGAGTTGAAGAAGAATTTAAATAAGATTGTTTCAGTAAACAAAGACTAGAGAGTTTCTTTTCTTAAAGAGCTCCCCTTTGATGTCACTTCCTGTTTCACATTGCTGAGCCAAATTCAAGAGAAAATATGCCGTTTATGAGACAATATGAGTAAAATCGTGTGCATTATGCTATATATTTTTAATATAAATATGTTTTCTTTGACTCTTTGTGTTTTGCACGGTTGCAACGTTTTCAGAAACGGCATTAAAATGATTCATTTGCTCTCAGTTTTCAGGGCTTTCGACAAAGACAGGAATGGATTTATCAGTTTGGAGGAGTGGATCCAGGGGCTGTCTGTTTTTCTTCGAGGGACCTTGAAGGAAAAAATCAAGCGTAGGTTTCTCTTATAGTCTCTGTAGCACATATCGGAAGTGTGAGACGTTTCCAGCAAATAATCTCTCCCTTTTTCCCCCCCTCCGTCTCAGACTGCTTTCGTGTGTATGACCTGAATGGTGACCAGACTATTTCCAGGGAGGAGATGTATTCCTTCCTGAAGGACAGCTTCTCCAGACTGCCAGAGGAGGACCGTGAAGAAGCAGTCAAAGACCTGGTGGAAATGGCAATGAAAAGGATGGTAAGGATTGGGATTTGTTTTTTTTTTAAGAGGGGAAAAAAAACAACTTATCTGCTGCCTCCTTTACCACAGGACACTAATCATGATGGTCTGGTGACCCTAGAAGAATTTGAAGAGGCAGTAAATAAGGAGGACTTGCTGCTTGAAGCCTTTGGACCCTGCCTTCCTGATGCTTCGGTAATCACAAATCAAAAACTGCTTTTAGTTTCAATTCTGGAATTCTCCGCCTTACAGGCCGTCTTCTTACCTTTCAGCGTATCGAGAAGTTCGAGCAGCAAGTATTTCAGAAGGAACTAGAACAATGACTTGAACGTGTTCATGTGTATTCTTAGCTGCCATTGTTTAAATAAATATATATGGATTATTTTGTGGCACGGGCAAAAGGACTGGATATAAATACAAAAAGATCACGTTTAAGGCAACACATGCATGTGTATCATATCCGACGATGTGGGTTGAGCTTTGTCTCTCCAGGTTTGAGATCAGGAACTGATTCCACCTGGGAAAGATGACAAAATGTATTATTATTTTGTTACATAGAATGTGACATTAAATGTAATGATTGACCTGCTTCCATATCCATTTCTGGTGGTTCTGGTAAATTTGGTCCAATAAAAGGTTCATTTCCTCCAGAAACCTGAGCTAATGCTCTTCAGCCTCTTCCATTAACTAACAGTCATTCAAAGCAGACTGTTCACATACAGGAGAAATCAATAAATCTTAGTCATTTTGATGAGAGGGACTGTTGTGATTTCTTCCTCAGGTAGTCCAGCAAATGTTTCTCGTCTATCTTCTCATTGCAGAGTATAAGACCCTCACAAGTCATGTTGAACTGTAAAAACAAAACGGGGTTCCAGTCAAAGGTTAGGTCTTAAAGGTGGCTTTGAACTTTGGCCTCTTTCACTCGTTTTAAGTCCACAATCTAAACTCTTTCAGATAAATTGTTTTCATTTTTTAAGCCGCTTAAATTGGACACAAAGAAAGCTTTTGAAATCAGAACTAATGTTCAAATAAAACTTCACAATTTTAAATAGGATTTCAAGCCCTTTGTGACGAGCAACCTTCCATGTTAAAAAAAGGAAAAACTAACAATTTGGCAGACACAAATTGGTATTTTAGCACCGACAAGGTGATACTCAAAGAGTTATTACCTAAAGGCTGTCAAGTTTTTGCAGATTTTTCTTGTTCCTTGAAAAACACAACTTTATCTGCTATATTTAGACCTGACACTTTCATCCTCCACTTGTCAAGTTTCTTTGCATTTTTTTAACACACTGTCTAATCTGGGTATGCACAAAATGAATGCAAAAACACAGTTTAATGAAATGATGAACTTTTGAAGGTTAATGACCTTCAAAAAGTCAATATTTAACTAGCATGTCTGATTCCTTTGACGCAAAGAAAAATGAAACTGGGTATTTTAAAGCTTTTGCGCAGTACTGTAGCTCTAAATTCTGAACAGACTGATATTGTTGAATAGAAAGAAGAGACTGAACCCACCCACATACCTGCAGCGCTACCTTCACTCCATATCGTACATAGGTAGCGAGGTGTTCACAGTTGTTGTGAAGTAAGCCGTACCCTCTGTGGTTCTGAAACGTGTCAACGATCCGCTCAAGTATGTCTTTGTCGTCTCCCTTTCTGTACGTTTTTCCTGTCCAAGGATCCGTGTAACCATCGAGGTAATTGTTCACCTCAGGCTCGTCATTCATCCTGAGTTTAGAGAATATACAACCTTGATAATTCTCTGGAACCAAAGAAAAACAGAGTCTGGTAAATGTTTCAGCAACGTATCATCATACTGGACTATTATTATTCTGAATGCTGTGAAGCATTCACACTTCCACACATTTGTGTGCAATTCTGGCTATGACATTTGGTATTTAAGCAATTTATTTGAGACATTCAGCTTTTTCTGCCATTTTTCTTGTTAAAAATGAACGTAAAACCCTTAAATATAAATCTTTACTGCACACCTTTTCTGTTTCTGCTTTTTAACTTTGTTCTAATTTAAGCTACCTTCATCTTCTGTTTTTAGTTTTCTTCCTGCCTTTTCAGCTATCTTTCTACTCTTTTCAGCTTTTTTTAATTTAAAACTTTTTGTGTTTCTATCAGGTTCTTTCTACAAGTTTAAGCTTTTTATGATTATTTTCTGCTAAGCTATTTTCAGCAATTGTAGCTACAGATATCTGAGCTATGCTTTCAGCTTTTTCCAGCTACGTTCCCCTGTTTGTGGCAACTTTGGCTTTTTTCTGCTCAATTCAGAAACCAGCTGTATTTTCTTCTTCTTTTATTACATCAGCTTTTTCAACCACTTTTATTCTAATTTCAGCTTCTTTGGCTATTTTACAACAAATCACTATTTTTTTTGCAAAATTATTTAAAAAATAAGAATTCACATTGCATTTTCACAGAAAAAGCAAATTCCATTTTATCATTTATCATTAAAATTGGTATATTGTTTTTGTAATATAAAAATTCACTCACTCGACAGTTCAAAAACATCATTTTCGGCCTTTTGGCCACAAACATTCACGTCTCCCACATAAACAGCAAAGTGTTTGTAGCGAATTCCTACTGTACACTTTGTTTTAAAAGATAGTATATCTCCAAATTGGAACTGTAAATAGAAAATAAAACATTAATGATACCAATAGATTCAAAAAGAGAGAAAATTGAAAATCTGAAACAAATTGTGGGCAAACATGTTTGTTTTAACCAACAAACAAACTTACACTCATTTTCCAATCAAGTCATCGCCATTGGAAGGATCACATCCAATAAAGTGCACCTTCAAAGGCTGAGATGAACATGCCAGATGGTGGAAATGTTCCGTAATTATAATTTATTACATTTTTTAATAAAAATACATTTTATAGAATGTGCTGCCTATACACATAAAACTTTGGATAGATTATTATTCAACGACAAGCTGCACAAAAAAGGCATTTTAACTGCAAACCTTTTTCCTCACAGAATTGTTTTTATTATTTTAACTTGTAGAAATAAAAGTAAGAAGTATTTTCGGTTGTCTTACCTTCAGTCAAATGATAGCAACCCTTTTTAAAACTTCACCTGCTCATTTAGCAGAGTTCCTGACTGTTTCCAGACTCATTTGCATGATTCAGCTCCCAGCAGGAGATTAATATTTAGTGGTAGGTCTGCTCAGGCCAAGATTCTTTCTGAGTTTTGTTTATATAACTCCTCCTCATCCCAGCAATTCTCACGTATCAAATACAAGTTTGTATTTCTTCAAAATTAAAGTGCAGTTCAACAGTAATAATCACAATGTGTAGCAATTTAAATGCAATAAATGCTTTTCCATGATAAAATATGTACATTTTAAAAATGTTACAAAACATCAGAGTCATCATGACTGTTCTGTCAAAAGTCACACTGAGAGCTTTTAAAGCATTTAAAGCTATTAGTCAGAAAAGATTACTCCAAATTTGTCTTTCTTATTCCTTGGTGCAGTTACATCAACACAGTTTTGCTTCTGCTGATGTTTCTTTCAGAATTTCAAGCATTTCATTTCTCATTTTTGACATGTTTAATTAGACTTAATACGTTTTTTTAAGAGAATCTTGTCTAAACAATTGTTTTATTGCTGATGTATTACCGCAGCTACACAAATAACCTTTCATTATGATATTGGGTCATTTTGAATTTATGTTCAACATCATGTATGGAGGATATTTGCATGTATTTTTCATCAGTCTGATGAAAAACAATTGTGAAAAGAAAAAAAAGTCATTTGCCAGGCAATATGCAAACAGTCACTTTACAACACACAGTTTTATTTAAATGGAAAACCAAGCACACAACAGCTCATTTTGTTCTCATGAACTTTTATTCTTTTACAGTGTATTTATCTTTCATGTAATGGTGAAGTGATAAAGCTGGAACACTGAAGCATGACTGTGAGGTAAATACAGTATTTGAAAGTTGACACATTCCACCACCAACACAGATCCTTGATGTTATTTGATGACATAATGATTTTGTTCTTTCAGCAATGTTTCATATCCTTCATAAGCTAATTTGTTTTACTAAAATACCTACAAATTATTCTCTAAATAAATAGATAGATAAGCACAAATGATTCGAAACTGATTGCATTATAGCTTCAGACATGGTGATGGTAGTTTTTGGTATAAACAAATTGGTTTTATAAATGTGAGAAAAGAATGGGGTGTGGTGGACAGAGGAATCAGCTGCTTCAAAAAGTGTAGATGGTGACTCGTTTCTAATTCGGCGTTGATATAAAATAGAATTCTCACAAAAAATAGCTTTTGAAAGGGGATCTGCAGGGAGAAATGGATGGATAAATTTGGACATGGAAACTATGGTCTCTTTTGATGTTACATCGCTCTTTACGTGCGTTCCTGTTGATAAGGCAGTGGATGTGGTCTGTGCAAGATTAAAATCAGAGACCACTCTCAGCAGCAGAACCACACTTTCCACAGAACAAGTGTGCCAACTCCTCAAACTGTGCCTGGAGTCAACCTACTTCACGTACGGGGGGCAATATTATAGGCAGAAACATGGGTGTGCCATGGGATCCCCAGTTTGCAAACCTGTACATGGAGGAAGTGGAAATGAGAGCCTTGATGTCCTTTTCAGGGGTGCCGCCGAGCCATTGGTTCAGATATGTTGACGGCACCTGGGTTAAAATTAAAGCCCAGGAAGTCCAACATTTCACTGATCACATCAACTCTGTGGATGAATATATTAAGTTCACACRAGAGGATGTAAAAAATGGCAGGTTGGCGTTCCTGGATTGCGATGTCTCGGTTTCGGATGGAGGACGGTTGGAAACTGGCGTATATCGTAAGCCCACCCACACTGAACAATATTTGCGTTTTGACTCCCACCACCCACTGGAACACAAGTTAGGAGTGATCATGACTCTGTACCACAGAGCAGACAGTGTCCCTACAAACCCAGGAGCCAGGGAGAAAGAGAAATCACACACACGACAGGCCCTGGAGCAGTGTGGTTATCCTGACTGGGCTTTCCTGAAAGCAGACAGGAAACACAGACAGGACTCCATGCAACCTTCAGGTGAAAATGAAGACCCCAAACCCAGACCCAAACCAGTGGTTATTCCGTATGTTGCGGGTGTTTCGGAGAAACTGAGACGTTTATTTTCTAAACATGATGTCCCAGTGGCTTTCAAGCCCCAAAGCACATTACGGAAAAGGCTGGTTCACCCCAAAGATCCGGTTCCCCGGCACAAACAGAGCAATGTTGTATATGCTGTTAAGTGCCAGGAGGACTGCGACCAGTTATACATCGGGGAAACAAAGCAACCACTGTTCAAAAGAATGTCCCAACACAGACGAGCTACATCTAATGGCCAGAACTCTGCAGTTTTCACTCATTTACAGGCCAGCGGTCACTCTTTCAGAGATGAGGATGTTCTCATTCTTGATAGAGAGGAACGTTGGTTTGAGAGAGGCGTAAAAGAAGCCATTTTTGTGAAGAAAGACCGTCCATCATTAAACAGAGGTGGAGGCCTCCGTTTTCAGTTGTCCCCCTCCTACAGTGCTGCTATTGCCAGTATCACTCCACCCCCTGTTAACAATAGGTGTTAATTAGGTGTCAAGATAGCCATGTGATGTGAGTATCAGTCACATGGAGGCAGGGCTTAAAAGCCTGAATTTTGCCTGAAACTCTCAGACTGAAGAAGTCTCTTGGAGGAGAGACGAAACGTTTCATCAGAGAAGAACCCGTCCAGAAGACCTATACAATTTTTTTTCTTTTTGACATGGACGTTACACATTTGCTAAATAAGCTCACTTAAAAGAGCGTGTAACAGTATTGACGCAGAGCAACTCGTCACATTTAATATAGACGATCTTCGGTTGCGTGCTCACGCACGCCTGTAGGACGGCGGCGCTGACAGGAGGAAAGACGGGACTCTTCATGCGGCGGGCTGGTAACTGAAGTGGACCGTCATGGACAGGATGGCCGTGGTGAAGGTCGGAGCCGCGGCCAGCGCCAGCGTCTGTGTTCTGGTCGGTGGCCTTGCACTGACCCAATACGTCGTCGCCAAGAAGAAGCGAGCTGGGAAGAAAACTAAGATCATAGAAATGGTGAGTTTAACTAGTCCAACTGTGACGTCAAAACTAGCATAGGTAGTTAACGAACAGGAAGTTGGGGTGAAAGTGGTTTCAAAATAAACGTATATTGGCTTCAGTGCTGAATGGTGCTGCTACAAATGGTCGCATTTATTTTGAATATTACTACCAAGAAATTGACTGCAGTGTGTTAGTTAACTTGACAGTAAACGTGCTTGATGCTCTGCGCATGCGCATTAGTTCCCCCTAAACAGCAGCTAATTTTAGAGGTCAGCTTTTATTGAAACAGAAAGAGCTGCAGCTTTTCTGTTTTAGCTCTCAAAGCTCTGACAACAGACCTCTGTGTCAGTGATGCTTTATAATTCATTCCTGAAAACAGCTTTGTGTTCTTATTTCATGCAGGTTATGCAGATGCATACACATGGATGGAAAGCTCTCAGTACTAGTTTAATAAGATTTAACAGTAATTTACACAATCTACTTAATAACAACTTTGTTATACATTTTTTATTGTAGGTATCTGTAAATCTATATTTGCTAGATTATTTTTAGGGAAACCAATTACAAGAAATGCAATTTATTTCTCTTTTGGCTGCTCACCCTAAAAAAAGTCACCACAGCATACCTCTTCATCTTCCTGTGATGTCATCCACCTGTTAGTCTGCTGCCACCATTATCATGATCCCCCGTCCCATCTTTAGCATCAAACTACACAGGATTCAGTCAGTAATTAGTTAATCTTAATATCAGTTTAAGTGAAACGTATATTCACTTCATAATATTGTAAATACCAACCATTTTAAACCACTGCTTGTGAAGCTCCCATCATAAACCTTCCCTCTTTGTTATCTGATTCATGCCTGGTATTTTACCGCACCTTCGTTTTTCACCTCTGTCCCACAACTCCCTTAGCTTTTGTCAAGAAATTCCTGAACTGTCCTGACTCATCTCAGTAATCCAGGTAGAAAAAAAAGGTAGGTCCTCTGGATGGGTTCTTCTTCCAGAGGACCTACTTATTTTTTTCTTTTTGAATTCCTGAACCATTAAAATTGATTCATAATTGTAATAGAAGCGTGTAGATTAACAAAGAATACTATGGCTAATTGAATACTGCATTATTTCATATTAAACTTGTCTTTATCCAGGCCTTCTTGAAGTCAAGTGTCGCTGTTATCTAAGTCTCATAAATAAAAGAATCAGCTCTCTTAGCAACTTGTGTTATTTGCCCAAACACACTCACAAAATTCTGTTAGATATAATAGAAAAATTCCAGTAACTTTAACATCTAGATAACATGTTTTTAGACTTTGCATAATGCATTGCTAACGTGGCTGGATCAGCTTTTAAATGTTTTAGCTTTTATTTTTATTCTTTTTGTAACCAAAGCTGTCATGTCCATACATTTAAGTTAACAGTTATGTTTAACTAAGTAATGAAAATTAATAACCATTTTTTTTACTTTCATAGTGTCAGATGAGTATTAGCATTTTTGACCATCATTGTTTTTGTTGTAAATTCTACAAAAATGGAGATCAGTGATGTGTTTTACGACTATGACAGTAATAGGGATGCACCGATATGAAAATTTCAGCTGATATCGATATCCAATATAAATTTTTCTGTTATGGCCGATAACCGATATTTACTGATATTACACAAACATACAAATTATATTATACACGTACGCAAAAACACACTTGGGTCTTTTTTTGATACTGTAAATAAACAACCAGACCTCTGACAATTACTCCCTACTTCAGTTATTCCTGACTGCACAGCATCAATATAGGGCTGCCACAAACGATTATTTTAATAATCACCAATTATTTTTTCGATTAGTCGACTAATCAGATCATACGTTAATTGAATATAAAACATAGAGCTTATCACGTCAGAATGCAGCTGCTATTGTATAACCATCATTAGATTTTAGCTATATGCTAACTAAAAATAATTGCTGTGGAAGACAAGTTCTGCTCTGCAGATATTRYACAGGTTTYTCTTTCATTTTCTTAAAAWGWTCCCACACTTTTGAGCTCYRTTGTCAGGTAGCCATGAYACYAGAGCCTGTCTGTATAATGTCTTGTGACGTCCACGGCCTACCCCAGTTACCACTACTGTGCATGTGTGTCAAGGACAGAAAGGCAGATGTGGCAGTGGAAGGTGTCAAAGCAGTTTGGAGAGAAAAACAAAGTAAAGAACAACAAAAAAAGAAACCAATTAATCGATTATTAAATTAATCATTGATTATTTTAATAATCGATTAGTCGTCGATTAATCGATTAATCGTTGCAGCCCTACATCAATATCACTATCACGATCAAACAGATGCTGCTCAATCAACCATCTCCACTCCCAAAACAGAAACACAAAGCTAAAACTTGGGAAATCAATATCGGACATTAATATCGGCCCCATTTTACATACCGGACCGATACCAATATTCTAAAAAATGACCAAAATCGGCCGATACCGATATTAATACCGATATATCGTGCATCCCTAGACAGTAATCCCCAAAACTTAAAATATCAAATAATTTGAAGATGAAATCAGCAAAGCGTTGTGTTGTGATTTTTCTTGTAAAGAACTATTTCTCGTTATTCCAACTCTCATTAGAATCTCATCAGAAAAATGCCTACTTAACAAACAGCTTTACACAATAGTGTTTCTGGTTTTTAAGCTCAACAGTTCACACAGACACTCCCTTTATAAAACACTACTCTTTTGTAAATTGTGTGAGATCCCTGTAACCTTTGATTTCACAACACCTGGTTTGTTGGCACGATTACCTGTAGGAACGAAACTCCTAATTGTCCAGTTTGTGATGCTATAGTTTTCACGTATGGACGTGTTTTGTCAGGCTACTGTAAATCTAACCTTTTAATAGGGACGGTCAAAGATCTTAAACTGGACATGACCTCTGATAGTGTCGTCCTGCGTGAGTCAGGTGAGCAGCTTAGACAGTCCATCAGCTGACTTCTGTGTATTTAAAGCAGCTGAAGCTTGTCACTTGACTGTTTCTTATTCTGACAGCGAGCGTCATTAACAGTTGAAAGATGTTCACTGCCTTGTCTTTTTCAGATGGAATTTAAGAGACCTTATAAGGCCAAAACTTTAAGTACTATTGCTATTTTAATTAACACAGATTAATGTTTGTGATCTTCACAAGCCTATTTAAAGGCGACTAAAAGCTAAAAGCTAAAAAAAGCTTAAAAAAAGCTTTCCTAAAGCTTTCCTAAAAAAGCTATCCTAAAAGCTGCCTCACAGAGCAGCATGGCTTTGACGACTCTGCTCCTTTTACTATAATGCAGTTCTCTGGTTTAAGACTGGGATGTAGTAGTGATTAGCCATGTTTCCAACGATGTTTTTTAAGCACATTTTGAAGTATCGCATTAGAAAAGGTGGATGGAAAGGGCAAAATTAGCAATAAAGGTTTTACGCTCACTTGAGATGGTTTTTGGATATTCCGAAAAAAGAGTTAATACACAAAAGGGGAGATGGAAACACATTTGCCAAATAAGTTCTGACGTAGCGAACACTTACCTCCGTCAGCTGTTCCCGCTGTCCAATAATTGTAGCAGCTCTGGCTAAAGCTGGCCCCTCCTCCCGCTGTTGGCGTCTTCTCAGTTATTCCCATAACGTGAAGAGAATTTCACTTCTTTCTCTACGTCTCCAGACAGCATGTAACATCATCAATATTAGTTAATATGACAGAATCATCACAACTTTCCTGATAGTAGCAACATGTTCCTGATAACTTGTCTCCATTGTCCAGAGATGTGTCCCTGTGAGTTTGTGACTTTACATCCTGTTTACTACAGTCATGCGTAACGTCATCGTCTGACGTAATTACACTTTGTGTAGCCTGGTTGATCCTCTCCAAGCCAGTTGATAGAAACATGACTGAGTATTACTTTTTTTAGCGAATTTTAAAAGTTTGCTCAAAATTTGCATTACAAATGGATGGAAACACGACTACTGACTGCTGTCACCCTGAAAACTTGTGACTCTGTTTTTAATTGGTGCTGTTAATAAGCAAAGAATAGTCAGACTAAATTCCAGAAATCCAATAAAACATTAAACCGTTTATGTTGGCCTTTGTTTTCTTGCTATCTCAATTTTTGTGCTATAGATTCAAAAGATCAGTCTGTCATATAAAAAGACATTTAATCTTAGATGATCACTATGTAATTTTATTTTTTTAGGTTATAAATTTCTTTTTATTTGTTCCACTCATATGACTTCTGTGGTTATCACTCCACATTTGTCTATTTTCTCACAATTTCCAATTTTTCTTATTTTCATCTTATTTTTTAAATATCTTTAAAACATAGACAGACTATTAAAATTGTATATATTGAGTAGTATTACAGACATTTGGCTTCTTTAATTTGAACATTTTTGCTGCTTATTTGTCTTTCATCCCCTCGACCTCTAGAGGGCAGAGCGGAGTAACTTTTTTGCCATCTTTAAAACCTCTCAGGACATTTTTTTTATTCATTTCATTTAAAAACAAAACAAATTTTATATACAACAAAAAATACAAATCTCAAGTAAAATGAAAGGCAACAGAAAGAAGAACAAAATATCATTTTCTGCCCGTTTTCCAACAAATATTTTCAAACAATAATAATCTTTATAAAGTTTAGTTTTGAGAGCTGCACTTGAACTGCAACCCTGGTTAATGTAACATAATTTCTGTCTACAGAGACCATGAGAGCCAACCTGCATCAAATTACTTCACATATGGGTTTTAATATGACTGCACTGTTATAATATTAATTGATCTTTGAACATGGTAGGAATGTTTCTCTTCTAGTAATAAACTCATCACAACAGATGCAAAAACAATAACTTATCTACAGAGGCTAAAAGGGTACAAAATGTTTTCATAGATTTGTTTGGAATGTTCCTACAGCGCAATAATGTCAGCAAGATAAGAATGTTTGTTCCAATGCATTTCACAGAAAGACCGAGAACAGTACAAAAAATGCTGACCTTTTTCAAAGAAT